TTTATAATATTTAAAGAAACTTTTCTTTTTTTTATATAATTTTCAAAATCTTTTTACTACCCGTAATAATGTATCTAAAGAACACTATTTTGGAGTCTTTAGATTAATTCCGCTCATCGGTACTAATATGAATTTAGTTGAAATCTTTTGAAAAAGTTTCAATATTTCTATCAATTTTCACAAAAAATATTGGAATTCCGACCAAGAAAGAGCTTATAATTATGGAAAATTGCCAATAAACGATCAGAATAGATCATATTGTTAAACTATAATGTTCATTTCACCTAAAAAACGTATTAATATAAAATCTTATTTAAATTTGGACGAGCGATTGTAATTTTAAGATGATTTTTTTTAAAAAAAAAGAATCATCGGTCTCTACAAACATTTATACGGTAAACCATTGTCAAACGTTGAAACAAAAATACAACCTCTATTTCAAAAAACCTCTGCAAATGCCTCAGCTCAAAACCAATTGACATCATGCACTTCCGATATAAATAATTTCAAAAATTCCAAAAACAAAATAAACGATGTCGATGATCTAAATAATTTTATCTTAGTAGGTAGAAATAAAAAACCCTCTGGTCAAGAAACAAATTTTTCCTCGGAAAAAAAAAAATTTTCCAGCCTGTTTTCGGCACTAAAATTCCAGGAAAAAAAACAATTGCTGGTCAAAAAATAGTTCGTCAATATGAACTTTTTGTTGGAGGCGTTAGCAATCAAATAAATGAAGAGGATTTAAAACTCTATATAAAAACGGAAATAGGTGTCACAGCCATATCAGTTAATTTAAACAAAGAAAATCAGTACAACAGATCTTACAAAGTTTCAATAAACAGCTCTGACAAAAACAAAATATTTAACCCTGCTCTATGGGATAATAATATAATAGTTAAGCCGTTTCGAAAAAAGCGCTTATATTCAAACATTGCCCGAAACCTGGAAACCAATGAAAACCAGGAAGCTTTTTATAAATAAAAATGTATTCAGACAGCCCATTAAAGGAAGACACAATTCCGATAACATTTAAATTATGTACTTTTAACTGCCATGGATTTAAGTCAAACATTAAATATACTGAATTGTTGATAACTTCTCATGATATAACTTTTATATGCGAACATTGGTTATCAAAACTAGAATACCCCATTGTCAAAAATATTTGTAAAAACACTCACTCCTCATACTTCCACCAGGCAAATAAACACGAGCATGGTCAACCATTTGGTGAAAATGCGTTTCTGGTTCGGAAAAATTTGTTTCAAAATGTCATTATTCTCTACGAAGATGATCATATTCTTGTAATAAACCTTATAAAAATAATACTAACATTATCATTATTGGTATTTATCTCACTTCATCGCGAAATAATCGAACATCTTTGGATGAATACGAGAATCGGTTAGACATAATTAAAGGGCTTATTAATAATTATGAAAGTGTTGGCGAAGTAATTGTACTTGGTGATTTTCAATCGTTTCCTCACGAAAAATAATTACTCCACGGCTTTATCAAAATTTATAAAAACAAATGATTTTGAACTAGTAGACGTTATTAAAGGTTCCTGCCCGAAAATAACGTACCAAAATCATACACTACCAAACGCATCTTACATTGATCACATAGCTCTCTCAAGGAATACTTCTCTTCAGTATGAGAATTGTATTGTAGCTCCTTTTTTTCATCTCAAAATATGAGTGATCATTTGCCAATATCAATTGTAATTGGACTCAGAGGCCAATCTCTCCGTGAAAAGATTAACAAACTTATAGAAAATGATAGCATTCCTAATTATGCCTGGAATAATCAAAGTTTTTATACAATTATATAATGAGTGTTTAAATAACAATCTAAAAAGTTTTCACTTTACGAATAACAATTACGACGAAGAACTTATTAAAATCTATTCTTTTATTATAAAAAGTGCATCTGAAGCTCTTAGCCACACTTATTCTTGAAAAAACAATCTGTATATTCAAAATCTTGGTTGACTCCAGAGTTAAGCAGGAGCAAAAAAGCTCTTACATTTCATTTTAAAAAATGGCGTGAGATGGGTTTTGAAAAAGATTTAAACTCGCTTACTTTTAATCGATATCGAATGGCACGTAAAAATTTCCGCAACGCTGTCAAAAAAGCTCAAAATTGTAACCTTTTTAAACAATACACAAAAATCGAGAAGCTAAAAAATACCAACCCAAGAAACTTCTGGAATACCTTTAGATACATAAAGTCTGATACAAACTCAAAACTATTTACTATAAATAATAAAAATGATAAGGAATCAATCACTAAAGAATTTGCCGATAGTTTCGAAAAACGGTTAAATACCAAAGCAATGACGTATACCGCTTCGAATTTTCAAGTTGTACCAAATTTGATATGGTAATAATATCAGATGAAGATATCAAAACGGCTATCTCTCGCCTAAAATTAAACAAGACCAAAGATGCGTATGGAATCTCTGCAGAACATTTAAAACATGCACGTTGCGAAGCCCTAACAAAGTGGCTAAGGAAATTCTTTAACTTTATTATTAACCACGTCAGACCCCAAAATTGATGTCTACATCACTTATTATACCTCATGCTAAATCTTATAAAAAATCATTAACTGATCCAAATAACTACCGTGGTATTAGCATCATTCCAATCTTTACAAAACTAGTAGAATATCTTATTTTAATAATCTGTTCAGAGAAAAAAGAAACTCATCCTCTTCAATTCGGTTTTACTAAAAACAGTTCAACCTTACATGCCAAATTTGTTATAAGTGAAACTGTAAAACATTACAACAACAACAACTCACCTGTCTATCTCTGTTTCCTTGATGCTGAAAAAGCATTTGACAGCTGTAGCTGGGACATTTTATTTGAGAAACTATGCGATAATAAAAAATTACCGCTTTTTATTATTAATACTATATCGTCATTGTACCATAAAAGCAGTGCCTCTGTCACTTATCTAGGATGCAAGTCATATCTATTTTATCTAACACAGGGGGTGAAACAAGGATTGATTCTGTCTCCTCACCTGTATAATATATATACTCAAAGCCTACTTGAAACCATACAAAATAAAAGTACCGTAGAACATCAATTTATGGAAATTACAGAGGTGTTGTAGCATACGCTGATGACATTATTCTTCTTAGTTCTACTCTGTCTGGAATAAAAAAGTTTATAGCAGCTTGTAATATATACACTAACACAAGTTGTATTAAGTTGAATGCTAATAAGACCGAGTTCTTGTTTACTGGAAAAAAACAAATTGCAAACTGCACGATAACAATCGACCACCAACAAATAAAACTGGATGATCAACTTAATCATCTAAGTTTTATATGGGATACTAAAAGCTCTTCTTTTGCCTCACTTAATCATTCAAATATTGATAATAGACTATCAAAATTCAGGGCAATAATTCAAACTCTTATTCAGTCTGGAATCCGCTTTGTTCATCCATGCTCTATCGTCCAGCTATATAAAACATTGGCGGTTCCGATACTTACGTATGGTCTTGAACTTTGCGACTATAAAGACGTACTAATGCGAAAGCTTGATATAATAGGGAGGAATGCACTTAAGTCACTCTTCAATGTTTCCAAACACAGCAAAAATTATATTCATTCTTTGTTTTACATCCAAGATATATCAACAATTGTACAGCAAAACAAGTTAAACTTATTTATTCGCATATTGAGTAATAAAACAACCTCTGGTATTGTAAATTCGCAGTTTAAAAACCAAACCACTAAGCACCTTTTTCTAGATGATGTCATAGGTCTATGCAATCGGAATGAACTCAATATAGAGAGCTTAATCCAAAACAAAAAAAAAGTAAAAATTATTGTGTTAAGAAATATAATTCCTAAATAAGATCTTCAAAAATTAAGCTATGCAATTGAGTTCTGGAACTCATTGGAGCAAAGGAAAATATTCAAAGAAACTCTTGAAGTAAATATTCCAAAATAAAAACTTATTTCTTGTCAAAAATGTAACTTTATAATAATTTACCTTGTATTATATACAGCGGGTGATTAATAAAATATATATATATATATATATATATATATATATATATATATATATATATATATATATATATATATATATATATATGTATATATATATATATATTTATATTTTATGATACCACAAAATTTATCATTTTAAGTTTTTTCTTTATTATTTTAAAAGTGCCTTAACTACACCGAGCAGGTTCGTTTACGGTAAAATCATATATCTTTTTACAATAATGGAACCCTAAACTAAACCTTCACATAAAAAAAAATTGTAATAAAGGTTAATTGTGGATTGTTTTGATAACATACTAAAAAAAATTTTTTCATGTCTTTTGTATATTTCGAAAAAATACTGAAAAACTGGAAAATTTTTGGACGCCTATGAATGTACATAGTCTAAGGTCACAATATAGCTTAAAATATTTTGAAAGAAATTTCTTTAAACTATATTGTGGCAGTAGTGTCATAAAGATGACGCAACTGTGACAATGTAGTTTAAAGAATTTATTTAATAAAATTTCTTAATTAAAATTTTTTTTTCAGATGTTTAAATTTATACTTTGAATTATTTGTCTTTTAATATAATTACTCATTATAAGATTCAAGGTTCAAAGCATTTTCTGACATATTTCGCGCCGTTCGTAAGAAAGGAAGAGTGAATTTTTTAGTTAAATGCTCTTTCACGATGCTCTGTGACAAGACAGTTAAATCGTCTTCGGGCACCTAAAGCAAAAATTAAAAAATATTAATTTTAAAAAGTAAATCAATAGCAAATAAAATGATAAAAGAAATAAAAATAAAATCGATTTGTAAAATAAGTCATATAAAGTTTATATAAACTCACTTAAATATACAAGAGTTATGTTCAAATGTTATTTTACATTAGTATTTGATTCTTACATTTGTATTTAATACAATAATTATATTATATAAATTTTTGTAATGAAAAAAAGTATTTTAAGATTATTATTTTATAGAACATAAATGAATGGAAGCGTTTGAATGAATGGAAGCGTTTATATAACAAGTTGTATGAATCTAACCACGGCAATGATGGTTCATTTTTAAATTTAAAATATCTCGAAGAAATTACGCAACGTTGTGAACAATATTGTATGCCAGATGATCTCAAGTGCATGAGAAAATGTGCTCAAAAGTATGAAGAGGGTTTAATTTAGTGCAATAATTGTACGAATGTACTTTGATTGAAAAATTTTAAAGAAAAATTTATTTAAAAAATTTTTTCAATTATTAATTCAATATATATATATATATATATATATATATATATATATATATATATATATATATATATATATATATATATATATATATATATATATATATATATATATATATATATATATATATATATATATATATATATATATATATATATATATATATATATATATATATATATATATATATATATATTAGGGATATGACAATTTCACAACCCTATATGCCCATATGATAATTAGTGGAGGCTTTGTGTACAAATAACAAATAAGTAAGTATTTTTCTTTTTGCTTAAAAAAAGCTCACCCTCCAAATAAGAAAATGATATGTCTAAGATATAACATGTAACATTACCGATAAATAAATATTATAAAAGTTGGCAAGATTGAAGAACTGAGAAGAGAACCAGACTTTTGACCATGAACCACAGATGAAATCACATGCCACTTTTGCTGTTTGTCTAAACTCTGGCATCAGGATGAAACTAAGCAAAACATAAATGGCTCTTAAGTTCCATCTTGCGTTACTGATATATGGAAGTGATCGGAAATGCACTTTTGGGAAACTTCCTGTACTTTTGAAATACTTGTAACATGATACTAAGTGATCAAGAAAGGACATGTCATCTCATCAGCGAGATGACATGTCCTTTCTTGATCACTTAGTATCATGCTACAGGTAACTAAACTTTGACTTTGTTCTTCACTCATAGATTTTTCTATTTCTGTAACTTTTTCCAAATCTTCTTCACTACTTTCTTCAATAGACTCTTGTATACTGACACTCTTCTTTTAAGCATCTTCACTTTTCTTGGATGTATCCCCTGTGTGTCTTATTTTGTGGTGCAATATCTTACTTTCCCTTTTCTTGAAACCTGCAGTTCATAAAACTCCCTGTCTTCTCTGCACAACGGTTCTCTTTTCTTGTCTGTAACATTAAATAATTTACTAAAATCATTGTTTCCAGGTCTTCCAGCATGCTTTTCAAAAGTTTTTATTACATTCTCAACTTTTCGTGCAACCGTAGATCTACCTTATTAAATTGGCAGATTCAAATTATTCCATAGGACTTTCACTTCATCTGCTGTCATTACAATTTCTACATTTTACATCAGAAACCAGAGTTTTAAATCTGTCGAATATATTCTGCTCCATTAGAATTTTTTGCATCTGATCAAGACTGTCAATGGTAGTATACTTTCTTGACTTGTCACACTTTTGAAATTGTATTAGATTTGAAGACCAAATCTATTTATTATTCTCTGAAGGAGGCGCGTTTTTAGACATTGCAGTCCAAAGCTGTGATTCTCCAGATAGTAAACAATCAGTTAAATGCTGTGTTGGTGCCAGAAGAAACAGGTTATTGGAATCTAAATATTAGATAACTAATAAATATGAAATTTATTAGATAAAAAAAAGTTATAGGAACTTAGAGTAATGTACATTACAAGATCTTGTAACATTCATATTTAGTAAATAGAGAGCTAAAAACAATTTAAATGTTAAAATGTTACCCTTCAAACAGACTTTTTTTTTTTGTAGGTTTTGTAGAACATGAAATCGCATTATTTCTAATTATATTGAATTATTATATTAACAAATGTGACAAAACTCAGCATTTGGATAAGGCAGCCTATGTGTAAAATTAAAATCAGTTTGGAGGGTGACTTTTTTTCAAGGTTAAAATTTTTTAATGATATATTCTTGAAAGTAATGATAAATGCCCACTTATAACAATAGGGGAAATAAAAAATTCCAAATATTTTTTTTCTAATCATATACCTAATATATATATATATATATATATATATATATATATATATATATATATATATATATATATATATATATATATATGTATATATATATATAACTCCTTGATAATTTTTCAATAAAAACGAATTTTTGTATGCTTAGAAAAAAAAAAATTTGACCCGAATTTTTTTTAAGATAATAGTCAATTTGCGCGCCTTTTGTTTAAATGACTGCAATACATCTAAACATTGAATCGAAGTTTTTAAGCAAATGCGGGTCAAATTTTTTAATGAAAACTGCCTTTAATTGTAACAAACGAAACGGTTTTTGTTCAGCTATTTTAATTTTAAAAAGATTCCATAAATTTTTAGGTCTAGTCATTGAGAATCCCAATCTAACATCTTAATTCTTTTTTATTTAAACCACTGAGTAGCTTCGACGTGTGTTTTGGATCTCCATCCTGTTAAAAGATAAAATTACGAGATCAAGCGCTTGATCTCATTTTTCATTTCATAATATCAGGATAAACCTTTTATTTTTAAATTATTCCATCAATAAATTCGAGTTCGCCAACACCACTCTAAGCAAAAGAAACTCAAATCATCATTCGTCAAATTATAAAAAGGAAAAAGTAAGTTAGAGTATATAGAATATTGTAAAGTAAAAACATTAAAGAGTATTCGACTAAAAGAGTTTTGCTAATTATGTTATAATAATTATGCTAATTATGTTATAATAATTATGCTAATTATGTTATAATAATTATGCTAATTATGTTATAATAATTATGTTATGCTAAATCAATTTCTTGTAAAAAAAAATCAAGAACAATTTATTTTTTCACTTCATTTGAAAGTCAATATATTTAAGAAAGTTTCAAGGATCATAAAAGTTTTTTTAACAGAAACGTTTTTTTTTTGTTTGTTTTACCAACTTGTAATTCTTTTAACAGGTTTTGCACTTTTTTTAACATTTTTTTAAATACTTTAGGAAATGTTGAGATATTTACGCTATGCATTAGCCAATTCAAACCACGCTTGTAAAACAAATCAATACTTTTGTCTTTAGAATAAATGGGGCATGTAGCATTAAAACAATTAAAATAAAAACTGTTGATATTATATAGTAAAACATTCATAAAATCTTTATTTTGAAAATAATTATCTAATACCACAGTAATCAGTGACGTTTTGAGGTTTAAGTAGCAAAAAACTAATAAAATATAAACTAAAACTGCGATAAACTCGTAACCAGTAAACCATTCCACCTGAAATTTTATCCATAGTTTTGTGCAGCCATATGCTACATTGCACTAACTATTACCTATTATCTATTATACCATATAAGGACCCATTCGTTATATCTTAGTTACAGGTTATTTAGCAGGACTGATGCAACTGCATAGCTCATTGTTTGAGGAACCATGAGAACCATGAACTATTTTTGGTTGAATCCAATTAATAAGTTGCAACCGTGGCGCTGTGATTAGAGCGATGCGAACTTCCTATTTAAATGCTCTTCCGTGGTGCTTTGTGGCAAGACCATAAGGTCTTCATAAGGCACCTAAAAAAAAGTTAAAACATGACTAAAGAACTTAAAAATATTAAACATAAAAAAACCATGGCAACCACTGAATTGTTTTAATCCTAAAACAATTAAATTATTTACAAACATTTTCTTAGAAGAAATTTTTATCAATTGAATCTTAGATCCTGAAAAATTCACTAGATTTACTAGTCATTTTCGAAATTAATTTGAGTTCGACTGTTTCATCTTCGGATCTCAATGTTGATGGCTATTATCTCTTGATTTGACTCCAATAGTCATTTGCTTGGCCTGGACATGTATACTTGCTTATCAATTCACCTATTTGTGGTGATTCAATTTTTATTTTTATTCTTTAGCCTGTATTGCTGGTATAAATAACTTTAATGCTCACCACACTGATGGCTTGGCTCTAGTACTACTGACACTGTTGGGACTAGCTCCACTGACACTGTTGGCACAAAGCTTACAACTTTTTTTTCAATTTCTTACTCAGATAGTTATAACTATCTGAATAAGAAATTGAAAAAAAAGTGACTAATTTACCAGACAACCCGAATTGTTTATCTTCACTCTTTGATTTTTATCTTGTCTCTAACCCTAGTGTATTTAGTTTCTTTGTGATATTTTTTAGTTGGTTGAAGTATGCTATGATCTATCTAATACTTTTATTTTGTACTTGTTTTTCTGACTCACCCTATCATTACTTACTACCGTTATTACTACCATTAGAATTCATATCGTTAATACATACCAAGCTATTACTACCATTAGAATTCATATCGTTAATACATACCAAGCTATTACTATCATAAGAATTCATATCGTTAATACATACCAAGCTTTACTAGGATTCTTTTCGTGATTTACTTCATAAAAGACCTTGGAATAATGCCTTTTGTCTCTCTGTTGATAATTGGGCTTCCTGCATAATCTCTTTGATCCAGCAGGTATAAAAACTTTTATTTCTTTTAGTTAGTTCCAAGTCAAGTCTCATTCTACCCAAGGTTTTTTACCTTCTTACGCAGCTGGTAGTACTAATTGTAACTGTTTTTTTAAATTTGTTCACATAAACAACTCTCTTTACAAACGTCTTTTTATTATTGCAAGAAATTGATATTGAAAGAGGTATATAGTTCTCTGATGACCCTTTTTTTATTAATTTTTAGATCACATGATCATGTATTTTATCCAAGAAGTTAAGTTTTAGGAACTTTAAAGAATTTCTACAGTGCCAATAACAAAGGTAAGTCTAATGCATGGGTCTAATCTTATTATCTTTTTTATATAAGATAGAACTATTTGCAAAGAATTTTTCCTCAAATTCTACTTATGAATCTAAGGACCACACTCTTTTTGTCATTCCAGAGTAACCGGTTAATGAAATGTTTGACAACCAAATCACTCCGATCTTCCGTTGTTAAATTTATTTCTCTTGTAAACTCATTTACTGCTTGTGATTATGGCAACATTACTGTCAGTTTAACAAAAGTGTTTTGTTGTGGTCCAGATAACATATTTGCCGTAGTCTTATAAAAGCTAAAACTCTCTTCAATACTCTTCAAACAAATAATAAGTGTTGAACTGAATCTTTTTTTTCGTCTTGTTTTAAAATAGCATCTATGGTTTCAATTTTCAAAAACTCTAAAGAACATTTTAACTCCTCTAACAATTGTCCATATAGTCTTTTCTC